CCTCCAGTTTTGGGGGAAGACATAACCAGAATAGAAGCTCGTCAAGCCCTAAGTGTGATCAGCGTCAAATTTCTCCTTGTAATTTTACTACTTTACAAAACAGAGTGGTCATGAGAATTAAGGACATGATCACACAAGATGAATCCAACGCATACTTCAACAAATTCTCCCCACTACTTCTATTGAAAACGTATAGGGATAACAAATGAGAATTTGAATTTTAATGTTAGGGTTTAAAGGGTTAAAGAGTAGTCTCCCTAATCCGCTCTGGGATAACAAGGAAAGAGAGTGTAGGCTGAAGCTATTCCGCCCTCTCTGGATATTTGTATAAGTGTTTATGGACTCATGGGATCGTAGGTTCACAAAACCTAACCATATACACATTTTAATATTGTTTGACTGTTTGCATTAACACGATACAGTTACTACATTTACTACAACATGTATGACTTTTTCCTTTGCATGAGTCAAAACGTTACATCCTAGAAGGGGAAAATTTGACATGCATTCATTATTTCTTGTAACAGCGTCGTCTGCAGCAATGTCTCTATCATTTTCAAAACCTTTTTGTTTTTGTGTTAACTATCATTTGGAAGAAATATTTCTTTTTCTGTTCCTTGTCGTTTATCTACGTCATCATTTTGTTTATCCTGCTCGCTACTATCATCACTGTCTCGATTCTGCTCCTGTTCCTTATCATCGTCCATCTTATTATACGCCTCGGTAAATTTCTCATCAATGAAGCTCTCCACCAAACCTTGGATCTCCCCTTTATCTGGGCATTCAAGTTCGTCAAGAATCCGCCGGATATCTTGTACAGCAGCAGATGTGGATCCACGGTGCAGCTCCAAAGATGATTTGACGAGTAACGTGATATCCAGCGGCAACAGAGCGGCGCTGATTACAGAACCAGCAACGTGTGCCACGCGCGTCCCCGCAATAGCCGCACTTCTGGCTACAGCGCCTGCAGTAGCGGCCGCTGATGCAGATATTGTGGCTGCGGAAGTGGCTGCTCTGAAGAACCTGGCACCGAATTCTACTCTCTCTTCGGTGGACGCGCCGATCTCTTCATAGGATATCCGCTGACTAAGAAATTCAAATCCACTTCCTTCTAATTCTCTGAGCAAAACCGCGTCATCATGCAGCGGTTTAAGGAACTCTGCTAAGCTAGAGATGAAGTTCTCTAAGGAATCTAACTGTTTTTGGAGCTCACTGCAAGCTTCACGATCGTCCTCAATTGCCGCTTGCACTTCTTTGAGTCCTAACTTTTCTAAGATTATCTCAACGACTTTAGAACCAGACATGACCAGTCCTCCCGCGCCACCTATTCCTGCCCCAACAAGGGACACTACGATTCCTGCCCCAAATGTAAAGGGTGCAGCAATGAGGCCCGCAACTGACAGGATCCCTCCTATGGTACCCATGGATGCTCCTGTTATGGTTGAGATATTCACGTTTCTGTGATGTTCATGTAGCTTTATGGCTAGTTCTTCTAATTGTTTTTTAGTGCGCGTTCTAATTGGTATCCAGCTGAGAAAAGCGTCGTGTAATTCCTCTCGAAGTTTGCGCAACTGTTCAAATTGCGCAGTGATTTGGTTGACGATGAATGAATCGTGGTTTTCGAGCACGTCACCGCTATCGTCCTTGCTTTCCACCTCTGTAAAAGAACAAACATCAACATTTCTTGGGTCAAATTCCTTGCCACAAACATTTACATAGAAAAAAGGAAGCCACAATCCAAAGTAGCCTCTTTGGACAGTTTTATTTTGCGTTTCGAATGTTGTGAACAACAAAAAATGGCACTTGCCTCTGGTCAGCTCTAAGCCTTTCCAGGCGTGCAGATAGCGGAGAGTGATGCGAAATGGTGATCGAAGAGAAGGGATAAAACACGGTAGAGCAGGAGGGGGAGAACGCTTCCTCTCTCCCTATCCCCCTCCCTTTTTTCTGTCCTGCTCACTTCTCTTCACGCTGCCTGCACTTTATATCTGCAAACCTGGAGTAGGCTAGTAGGCAACTACGGTTCCTGTGGTAAATTGGCAGTCATAAAACTCCCACGGGACTACTCAGGGAAACCAGTTTCAGTTTGCCTTAACCTTGATTGTTATTTTTTGTGGTTACCCTTGTGGCAAACTGGAAGCTAACATACCAACGCAACAGATTTATTAAAACCCAAATTGCTTTCACAACAGAAAAATCACATTAAATTCCATATCTGCTTGAAATAAACTTTTTCTCTCTTTGTGAATTTATTTACCCTTGTACTTTGTACCTTGTTCGTGCGTTATATTTGCATTGCGTGAATTGCGTGACAGACAATGTCTGACGTGGTTAAAAATATTTACATATCCCTACACGGAAAAATACAAGCATCGCATCGTTCCTTCGCATACAGAAATGACAATCAAACGTTGCTTGGTTAGTTTTCAGGATCTAAGGGCTTATTTTTATGGTTGTTAGTACTAACATACACTTATTTAATATGCATTCATGTTTCGAGTCTATTCGATTTATATTTTTCTTTATACTTATGTGAAACAGTCCGATCATGAGATTACTGCGTGCACATAATGTAAGAAGCTGTGTGGAAATTTTCTGAGTCGTTTTGTTCCTTTAGTTTACGGGATCTTAGTTTTCCAAACAGTCTTTACAGAAATAGCGTATGCTTCTTGCTAAGGGCGCTTCAAAGGCGCTTCCGAGGATAGTCCAAACACGGAAGTGTCTATTTCAACCCCTATTACATTGACCTACTTTTGTACACATTTAATCTGATCACTCAATTAGTTCATACATTTAGAAAGCGAAAGGATCGCGAAAATCAGTTTTCGAGTTCGCGAGACCACTTCTGTTAGTGTTCATTGCAGCCAATATCGGCCAAGTCATTGGCCGTACATGCAATACTTTCCATTTAAGAGAATTAATTTCCGTTTGAAAATGAAACTGCAATGAACGAATCGAAGTTTCTCGGAGTTTGGCTTTATACGATTTGTGATTCCTTTCGCGTTTATGAGATTTATGCACTCGAAATACCCCAAGAATATTGTTACAATTTTGTATGACATAAATGAGAAATGATTCTTCACATCAGCAAAGGAAATTGGCGAGGTTTTATAAACATGCGACAAATGCTCGATGCGAGCACAGGTGCTAAAAATACGAACCACAAATAGAGCATGGCGATATATTTTACATATCCCTTCAATGGACGAACAAATCGTGTATTATTCTACCCCATAAACTTAATTTTATCTGAAACTGTTATGGTAACAAACCTTTTTCCATTGTCGTAAGCTGTAGTACGTAACTTTTTCCTTCGACTGCGATGAAAGAACTATGTCAACGCGTGCAGGATTGCACTTAATATAGCAACCTGATATTCTCAGTGTGTCTGAATATTCATGTTTGCAGGAAAGAATAGGTGGCGAATTCTAAACCCTTAAAAATTCGGTGAATTTAGTTGACACAAATAAGTTACAAGACGTTATAATAAATATTCGAATATTACTTTCGCTTCGCGACTCGCTTTTGAGCGTGCGCAGAACTTCTTGCGTATTGTCACGTCACACTTTCCAAACAATGTGAAATAAATGTGATGAGACGTGGACACATTTTAAGTCGTTTTGTAATTAACGCAGCCAATCATAGACAAGATCGCTCCAGACACCGTGTTTTTAAAACTTGAGACCTTATACTTCCAAAGTTATATAATCCTTGTCATCATCCTGCCTTAAAATTTGTAACAGGTATAATAAATTATATGGTTCTGACAGGGGGTGTCCTTGAGGAATTTTAGGGTGGGGATTTACCACTTTGATTCTGAAATCTTTCTATTTTCTTTACCAGACTATTTTCAGTTGGAATTTTGATGTCGTTCGTCTCAGGAGTTACGGATAAAATTCAGGCTTAGACTAACAGTATACTATGAACCAGAAACTCCAATAATTCTTCACTACTGATCACGGGCAGCCCAGACGTAGTATGTGTCAAATGCAAAACTCAACAAAATGCCACTTTATACCGGCCAGGAAAGACAAGGATACGTTCAGTTTAGCTTTGTTTTGTTATATTTTGACTTTTGGACTATTTTAGTTCATGGAAGTTTCGACAACTCATCCTATTTTGTCCATGTGAATATCAATATATTCATTTGACACATACTACGTCTGGGCTGCCTGTGTACTGATCAATAAGGAATTTCCCATAAATGCTGCACTATTCTAGACTAAAAATTATCTGATTTCTATCCCCTATCCCAGCCTAAACTGCTTGAATACCCGACCTTTCACAGCAGTGCATACAGTTTATGGTCAAGTCGCCTGGGAAAAGAGTGATGTCACTCGATATCCTGAGTCATGTGGCCCGAAATTTCATAATGTTCAAACAGATCATAGAAAAACTAAACTGAAAGATATATTCAAAATTTGTTTTGTAAATGCGATAAAAAATGCTAGTCAGAGTGAAATACGAAACTGTGAAACTCAAGTTGTTCATTTTGCTGTCATTTGACTTCACATTTGCATAGGTTACTGGACACAGTTGAGGCAACATTTTTTGACTTTATTCCTTTCCATATACTTAAGATATTACTTTTCTTCAAGTTTATACATTCAATAAAATTTTGGGTGACATGGCTATAAATTTCAGGCGACATGACTTTGGGTGACTTGACCAAATACCGTGCATACCTATATCACCCATATATGACAGGCCTTCTCCAAGGATTTGGTTTTTAGCAGTAAACTCTGGGACATGTTGTAAAGATCTGAGTTTCATTTAAAATTGGGCCTTAAGTTAATGTTGCTACCCGGTCATGCATTGTTTTTGCGACAAGAAGTTATCTAGAATGGGACATTGAGACTAGAAAGTTCATTAAAAAATACAAAGGCAATATTAATGTTTAATGAGTGTCATGCTCAAACCTGATAAAACCGTTCTGCTCATTTAGTAGACTTTTTTACAGGTTAATACCACCAGTCAGTAATAGACGTTGCAAAACCATGGTAAAGGAACAAGACAGGTCAAAATATTATGAATAAACAGCACAGTATTGACCAAAAAAACCCAATTCTGCAGTGTTTTTCAAAGAATGCAACATTTTATTTTACAAAATAACAAATGACAAGCAAGAAGGGCGTATAGTTCTATCAATTCTACATTCAAGATTTCTTAGTGTCCTCAGTCTTTGTCTTTTCTGATTTCTCTTTGTCTTCAGCATTCTTATCTTTCGTATCCTTGTCTTTCTCTTTGTCTTTGTCCTTTTCTTTACTCTTCTCCTCTTTCTTTCCAGCCTCATCTCTCTCAGCATCCCTGTTGGCCACTTTATTGTTAATCAAGTTGTGGAGCGCAATCACAGCCCGCACTAACGATGCCACATACACCACTAACATCTGATCATTTGTTTTCACGGATAAGGACTTCACAAACTCCTCCAGATTTAAGTTAGGTAACAGATTAAACACATCTTGTAGTTGATATATAATGGTGTGATTAACAGGTAGCTTGCCAGTGGCAACTTTATCCAGGTAATCTCTGATGTCTTGAAGACGTGAATTGAGACCTTTGAGTGACAAGAGTTGATTCGTGATGCGCTGGGAAAGCGTTCCAGCAGTAAGGTTCTTGATATCCCTAAGATCAATGAAAATAAAATGTAACCACGTAACCTTTATAAAAGGCATTTAAGACAATAACCCACTTACTTTTTAATTATGGGTACTGGCAGAGAAAAGAGACTGCATACTCAAGGCAAGGAAATATTATTTTTTTAGCAGAGTTCCCCTAGAGTTTACTCAAATTGCCAGCTAGTTTATAACAACAAGGAAATCTTAGGCACTCTGCCTTGAGATAGACATTAACTGAATAAGCAAAAAGAAATTTTAAAAAAATGATGCTGAGGGTAAATAATAGACCTCTTTCATAATGGTGGCCTATTAATATATTCTTTTATATGTATGGTAATTTTATATGCCCTTGTTAGCATGTGCAAAATACAAAAAAATTCTTACTTACTTCAAATGAGGTCAGAATGGCTAAATATCAAGCACATAATAGGAGATCTGAAAGAGGTCTATAATCAATGGTTGTTGATTACTATTATTATTATTTACTCTCATCAGTGTTCATAGAGGCTCAGATAACTACCTAAGCAAATGTTCAACACCAACTTCCTCAGCCTCCTCAGCGCCAATCTCACTTGCAATATGTTCAAATGTCTTTGTTGTAGGGGTTCCGTCCTAAAAAAGGAAATGCACAAAAACTTCAACACAATAGTGTACATTAAAAACATAGTCCAGCCTATTCTCTTTGGCTAGAAAAGAGGAATATGCAGGGCTGTCACTAAAATTTCAAGTTGCCAGGTATATGTGATTAGTAGGAGGAGAATTGTACAGGCAAGGAAGTACCTTTGACTCTATTTTCTTTTTGTTTCCTATAAGAGTAGCCGAGGCTCTTGCTCATAGTAGCTAAGGAAAATCTCCGGCCCCTGGCTCTTAGTGTCAGCCCTGTATATGACCATCCCGTAAGGTGATAATGCACGGGACTATTCGCAAGGATGATTTGTAGAGAACCACATCGTTGCAATGTTGGAACAATGTTGTAACTATTCAAAACAATGTCAAAACAATATTGCTACTGTGTTGCACTAAAAATCGTCATTCCCAATAGTCTTGTGTAACATCACCTTCAAGTCTGATATAGTTCAGTGGTGAGACTATCTGACCAGCACCTGGAAGGTCAAAACTTCTCCTCCAGTGAAAGTGTTTAGAATATGTCCTTCAGGACTACTGTATTGAGGTGTAACAAAAGTGTTGTCCCATTGCCCAGGGCCAGTAAGGTGTATTTTCACGGCCTAACAGCTCAGCAAATTTAATGGCAGCCTGAAGAATAAAGTTGTCACAACTAAGTTTTGGGCTTGATCCTCAGATTTCCAGGGAAGTAAAATGAAGCAGTACTTCTTAAGTTGATATTCCTAGTTTTGCCTCATTCTTCCATTTTGACTAAAAATACTTGCATATTTTTTTTCTTCACAAAACTTTTTCACTATGTTACACATCGAGATTTAGTGTCTTACATCATGTACTTCTTCCACAGCGACATAAGCGTCTGTGGGTAAACCAAGATCCTTAGGCTTTGCATCAATAATAACAAGCACCTAGAAAAAAAAATGTCTCATTAAGATATATGTCACAATCGACTTCAAATTGACAGTCCAAAAAATTAAAATTTTACAAACTTACAGAGTTTGAACAGTATCTTCGGATAAGCTCATTGACTTTAACATCATTTTGGTGTAGTTTGGGACCAGTGTGATACCATCCAACAATTCTTTCTCGAGCTAAAAAAAATATAACAAAGATTACAAAAAAAATCTGGGCATTTTTTTCAACATTTAACAATGTTCAAAAGAATGAAGCATCCAATTGGACAACTCTAAATATGGGTTCCTCACTAGGTCTAGTATAGAAAATGCCCTTTCTTGAGTGTCAGTGTATTTTACACATAAATACTAACAGAGGATGCTATTTTTACGTCTCCTAAGACGGGACAGGCATTTTACATTGCCACAAAAGCTATCAAAGGTCTAGCCATTTGCAGGGCAAACACAGTGGCCCCGGGGATCGAACCCATGACATCCCGCTTTGCAGTCAAGCGCTCTAGCAACTGAGCTAATCTTTCACTAACGGAAAGGTTGTGTGCCTCCTGAGGGTTCCAACCTTTACTGTAATGCAGACAGCCTCATAATACAGACAGCTTGGTCTGTCCCTTTGGTGTCCGTATCAGAGCTCGAAATTAAAAAAATCTTCAGGTCGTCTTTTGGCGACCAACTGGAGAAATATAGTCGCCAGATACAAATTTTTAGTCACCAGGGCCGAGTTGTTCGAAGGCCGATTAGCGCTTAACCCAGGGTTAAATTTAACCAGTCTTTTTTCTTTTGTTCAAAAGCATTTTCTCGGATAACTTTCTCTGTTATTTTCAAAAGCATCCAATCATCAACTTGTTGCTGACAAAAAGAATTAAAATGAATTTACTTTTTAAGCTTTATATCTGAATTCAAATTTAGCACTAACCCTAGGTTATCTTAACCCAGCTTTGAACAACCCGGCCCAGTATATATAATGTAAACGACGTAGCTCATAGTTTGCCGCGATCCATCAGATTTGATTGTTTGAAAATATCGTGGACATAAGTTGGTATAAATTTGGAGGTTACCGATAACTGGCTATGTTTATGCGATTTGGCACATGAATTGTTTGTTTTAACTTTACTCTTTTAATTTAAATCCAAATCATAGAGAAATCTGGTCTCCACTTTGGCAACCAAACCAGAATTTTTAGTCGCTAAGGAGAAAATGTTAGTAGCATTGGTGACCGTATCAGATGCAATTTCAAGCCCTGCATATTAAGAAGATTTGACCATACAAACTTTGTAGATAGACAACCTGTACGACACATACCATTAACTTTCTTAAACATTCCATACATGTTTTCTAAATAATCATGGTCTAAGAACCAAACACTTGGATCTTTCTCATCTTCATCAAATGGAACTGTCATGAATAAAGAAAAGAAAAAAAAAGTAAGATTCCTGCTCACTTAACATTTACTTTTAAGAAAATCAATTACCAAACGTTCAAACACCGACACTGAGCCGGGATGATTTTTACTTAGATGAAAGCGTACACGTGCGTTAAATCAGTCTCTATTTCTCTATTTTCGTGACAATCATATTCTGACACGGTTAAAAGAGCAACATAAAGATATATCTCGGCCCAACGATAAGTGTTAACCCTAGTTACGTATTCTAAGACTTCTGCCAAGTTTTGATCCTCACCAGCAAAGCTATTTGCGACATCAAGAACACCTTTTCGCCGTGAACCTAACAATACTCCAACAACTCTCTTCTGGTTTCCAACTTTTCCCATTCTGTAAAAGTGATCTACAACACTTAACAACACAATCGGATGGACGACCACTTTAGTGATCGGTTCCTCTGGTCCAGGCATTATAAATCAACACTAGTAACTCGCGAATTTAACTTGATCTTTCAAACAATTTTCCCTTCAATTCAAGATGGCGGATGAGTCGACAGAATTTTTCTCTCCCCAGGGCCACGCGCGTTACATTAGACGACTCCCCAACCCCCAGAAGGACGCGAAATCAAAAAGTACATCAAGAATGTAATTCCCCTTTTTAACCAGAAATGGATAGAGCTACAGAAAATGTTTGTTAGAATGTAAAGTATACATTTTAGAGCTTATTTGAGTGTCAGTGTATTTTACACATAAATACTAACAGAGGATGCTATTTTTACGTCTCCTAAGACGGGACAGGCATTTTACATTGCCACAAAAGCTATCAAAGGTCTAGCCATTTGCAGGGCCAGCGTGCAAAGAAAGTAGTGTCCGATAGCCCGGGGCTAGTGGATTTTGCTATCGGGCTAGTGAAATCTGTTTTTAACTTGCCCAACGGGCAAGTGATGTTCTTTGAGGAATTCGAATAACAGAAGAGGTGTGAAATCAATTCTGCTCGACGAAAAGCTTTTGGGGCTAGTTGAAATGACGTCTGGGCTAGTAAATGCTAGCTTCAGCTTGCCCGAATGGCAAGCTGTAAAAATGATTTTCTTTGCACCCTGAGGGCAAACACAGTGGCCCCGGGGATTGAACCCATGACATCCCACTTTGCAGTCAAGCGCCCTAGCGACTGAGCTAATCTTGCAACAGTTGTGTGCCTCCTGAGGGTTCCAACCTTTACTGTAATGCAGACACCCTCATAATGCAGACAGTTTGGTCTGACCCTTTGGTGTCCGTATCAGAGCTTGAAATTAAAAAAATCCTCAGGTCGTCTTTTGGCGACCAACTGGAGAAATATAGTCGCCAGATGCAAATTTTTAGTCGCCAGTTTATAAAATGTAAACGACACAGCTCATAGTTTGGCGTGATCCATCAGATTTGATTGTTTGAAAATATCGTGGACATAAGTTGGTATAAATTTGGAGGTTACCTATATCTGGCTATGTTTATGTGATTTGGCACATGAATTGTTTGTTTTAACTTTACTCTTTTAATTTAAATCTTAATCATAGAGAAATCTGGTCGCCACTTTGGTGACCAAACCAGAATTTTTAGTCGCCAAGGAGAAAATGTTAGTAGCATTGGCGACCGTATCAGATGCAATTTTGAGCCCTGCATATTAAGAAGATTTGACCATACAAACTTTGTAGATAGACAACCTGTACGACACATACCATTAACTTTCTTAAACATTCCATACATATTCTCTAAATAATCATGGTCTAGGAACCAAACACTTGGATCTTTCTCATCTTCATCAAATGGAACTGCCATGAATAAGAAAGAAAAGAAAAGTAAGTAAAAAAAAAAGGAAGATTCCCGCTCACTAACAATTACTTTTAAGAAAATCAATTACCAAACGTTCAATCACCGACAGAGCCGGGATGATTTTTGCTTAGATGAAAGCGTACACGTGCCTCTTAAATCAGTCTCTACAGATCAAACTATTTTCAGTGACAATCATGTTCTGACACGTTTAGAAGAGCAAAATAAAGATATATCTCGGCCCAACGATAAGTATTAACCCTGGTTACGTATTCTAAAACTTATGCCAAGCTTTGATTCTCACCAGCAAAGCTATTTGCGACATCAAGAACACCTTTTCGCCGTGAACCTAATAATACTCCAACAACTCTTTTCTGGTTTCCAACTTTTCCCATTCTGTAAAAGTGATCTACAACACTTAACAACACAATCGGATGGACGACCACTTTGGTGATCGGTTCCTCTGGTCCAGGCATTATAAATTAACGCTAGTAACTCGCGAATTTAACGTGATCGTTCAAACAATTTTTTCTTTCAATTCAAGATGGCGGATGAGTCGACAGAATTTTTGTCTCCCCAGGGCCACGCGCGTTACCACGACTCCCCAACCCCCAGAAGGACGCGAAATCAAAAAGTACATCAAGAATGTAATTCCCCTTTTTAACCAGAAATGGATAGAGCTACAGAAAATGTTTGTTAGAATGTAAAGTATACATTTTAGAGCTTAAAAGCAGCGATAGGTCGTAAAAGACTTCTGAAAGGTCGCTTTTACGGAAAGTAGCGAGGCTAGTTAATTTCTTTCGGAACTTTAAAGATCCTTAAAGTACAGCACAGTACCATGTTGATTTATCATATTTATAGACTAAAAAAGCTGAATTTCAGTGTAGTTGTCTCCACCCACCCCTCTCTTCTTGCCCTTAGGATAGCTTCCCGTTAAACTTTGCAAACTCACGTCCGCCTTGCGTGAAGCAAAAGCGAAAGAGATAGAACTGATGATGTCTGTTTCGCTGTAATAGTTGATCATACCTCAATTGTGTTAAGTTTTATGTATTTACCGGAGACTAAACGAAATTAATTAAGTGCCGACAGAGCAGCTAAGATGTGATGTAGCCTATCTTTTGCCAGGTAAACATTTTATACTGCGTGATGCATGTGCTTGTTTACACTTTCTTTGAATTGCTAATTATCTGTGCCAAAAACACTAACAAACCCAGTGAAAAGGCACCATGGTAGCGAGCAAGTTGTTGCTTCTGCCATTCTTTATTCGGCAAGGTCGCTAGAAATTCATACTTAGTGTACTACAGGGAAGTCTGTTGAAGTCGGGGGGGAATAAGGAGGATGAGGGAGGGGACAGGGAGAGAGGAGGGAACGCTCTCCCCCTCCCTACCGGCATTATCTCTTTTCCTCGTACTTAATATCTTTGTGCCGTTCCCACAATATGAATGCCTGGCATGACACAGGCTAGTGTACCATCTACCATGCTCATTGTCATGTTTTTACCTAGGTATCCGCTTTATAACCGTGACTTATAAATACTGAGCCACCCTTTGCATGACAGTCAGTCTATGTCGGAGTGATTTTATTAACAGACATTTGCTTCAAGATACGCGTTGAAAGCTTTAAAGTTTACTTCTCTCCTCTACAGAGGCCCTCTTTGTGAAGCTGGGGAGAGGGAAAATGAAAGCGCGGGGGACGATGGGAAGAGTTACAGAGAAAGAGAGGTCTCCCGCCTTTTCTCTCTTTCCGTCGTGCACTGCGCGCATGTTTTCTTTTTCTATCAATTATTTCTCTTTTCGTCGGCATATAGGCTGTTAGTCACCCTTGCAACCGTTTTTTGGATGTCACGCAACGCTCCCGCGCAACGCTCTTCACTGTCACTCTTCACTGTTACGGCCTTTACTTCTACTCTTGCAGGCCTCACTATTCTGACATTTTCTGGAATGGCAACTGCTCTTGACCCAGACGATGTACTGCGTTCAACCGATGGTAAGGCAAATTTTCAGCGCCTTGCAAGACTTTTAATAAGTGGAGGCACTACCCTGTTAAGACAGATTTTTGACCTCATTCATCCTCCAAGTAATTTCCCTGCAGTTCTTAACAATCCTGTGACACAGAAACAGCTCAAAGCAGCGAAATTAACTAAGCCGCAGTGGGACTGTCTCTACCCATACCCAGGGGGGTACGGTAAGTCAGTAGACTTTGACGTTACTCTTCTCTTTCGCCTGCTGAGAACAATATGCAACCTCAGTCCTCCACCCACGGGTTGGGATGTGTTACCAGCAAGCTCAGACGTCAGTTTAACCGCAGATTTGGCAAGAATAAAGTACTACAGAAACTCCATTTTCGGTCACGTTAACCAGTGTATGGAGATCCCAGATGGCAAGTTTCTAATCCTTTGGCAAGAAATTGGCGATGCTCTTGTGAGAATTGCTGGACAGATTGGTCACTCGGCGAAAACGGCATGGCAGACTTCTGTCGATAACTTCCTGAGGGATCCCCTCACGCCAGACGATGATAGGAATGCAAAAGAACTGGAGAGATGGTATATGAATGATATGGATATCAAGAAATCCATGGAGGCATTGAAAACCACAACACACGAGGGATTCGATCATTTGGAAACAGGAATCAGCAACTTACAGGCGTTACAGGAGGAATTTGCGGAAACAACGCAAACTATTGATGAGGGTGTCCGGCGCTTAGAGTCCATATTTCGAGAGGAAACGCAAGATATCAAAGATCATCTAGGCGAGATGTATCGTTTAATAGATGCTGGATTTCACTCTGCTGGCGGTAAGTTAAAAAGAGGTTATTTTTGCTTTCCTGGCTTTTTTGTGAAGGCAATATTAACTCATGTATTCTCAGATAAGCGCGCAATTCAGATATTCTCAGATATAATGAAGAAGCCTGGGTGAGTCATTTGTGGCCGGCACCAAAAAAAGTCCGCACGGCTCGGAGCGAAGTCTTCGTTCTGCTTATGGTGTACAAATAATGAAGCTAAAGTGCTCAGAAACAATACGCACAGTATTAGTCAAACCTCATCAATGCGAGCGCATTATAGAAAGCAGATAATGTTCCAAAACGAAAGAATTTCAAAACTTCCTGATAGCTATTCCCTCCTCGTGTGCTTAAACAATTAATGCCTATGCTTGATGTAAAATCACACTGAGGGGATCTCACTTTTCTGGGAGAATTTCTGGCTACCTTTTGTACAAGTGTCATTCGAATTAAACAGATTTTTGGCGCTCTATTAAAAATGTGATTTCCACAACCACATTTTATTAATCTTTTTTATTCAGCAGTTCATCTGACAAACGTATACGGGGACAGCACGGGACATTTTGTTCAACGGATGCCTATAATACCACAGGCATCCCAAGCAGTGGGCCAGAGTGTGAAAATGACAGGATTTATTCCGCCTCAGCCTACGATGTATGGAGGCATTCCATCAGCGCAAGATTCCCTGAATTTAATTGCTCTCAGATACTTTCAGTTTGTCGACCCTTCGAAGCCGGAGCAGTTGAATACTTACTTAGAAAATCTGGAAAAGGTGCGGCAAGCGCTGTTTATTCACGAAGAGTCGCCGGAAGCATTGAAAATCCTGAAGAAACTTTGGAAACACCACCGCGCAGATGAGCCAGAAGAAATGGCAAGAGTATTCATTGAAGCGGAAAACATTCTGAGAGAATGTGGGCAAATCGAGGAGTACAGTGCGTGTTCACGGCCTCGCACCAATCAACATGCAGGTTGGTGTAAGGGGGAGAGCGCGCGCACGTGTGTGTGCAGTAATCGGGACGCTTACTTCTTAAGCCTATTTTTTCTTATGTCCACTACGATCTCTTAAAAGGTCCAACGATATTGCTGCGATTGCTGCGAAAAATCGATAGTTGGGGTAAAATTCAGTTCTACAAGCCAACATACCGAAATCTCCTTTCACATAATTTTCGCTTCCAATATTGATTCCAAAGCCATATTTCTTGAAAGAAAAGTGACATAGAAGCTAAAATCGAATATATTAACAATTTTGCTAATCCGCAAATTTGAAATTAAATAAAGTTTTTACATGATGGTGATTTTTTATCGTAAGTGGTACATTCCAAACTTAGCCTTGAGCTTAGTCCATCTCAATGACCGCATTTATTATCACGCTACTATTTGTTAACAGTTAAGAAATTAAATTGCAGAATTTATTTTAACTATTTAAATGTTTCTTTTTCTTAGCCACTGGTCCAGTATGCTTGCAAATCAACAACATCAGTGATCCACCTAAAAAGCAAGACTCGGTTACTGAGCTTAGAGAGAAGTTTGCACACTTACGAAGACTATGCGAGGATCTGCAGAACGCTGTTCTCCGATGGATCGTGATAAGAGAGGCCACTATACAAAAGTTAAAGTCACTTGTAGTGCATTTGAAAGACGTTGAGTCAGAAGTCCATTCCAGACAATACAGATTAGTAGCCACGCTCACTGGGTTAGCCTCAGTCTCAGTATATTGTATACCTATCATGGGCCAATTATTTGCTGTAGCCAGTATAATTGCAATGATAGGCAAAACCGAATTTGAGGAAATCCTGCGTAGTTTAGGGCTCAGTGAAGTGCAGGCGTTAATTGAGGAGGATCGCAAATGTTGCTTGGAGCTTCAACAACAATTTAATTCCTTGGAAAACTTCATATCTACTCTGGCAGAGTTTCTTATACCCCTGAATGATAACGTGTTTCTTCTTAAGGAAATGGTTGAGAGTAGCTTTGAATTCCTTTACAAGTATATAGCCTGTGAAGACATTGACACATCCACTGTGACGAAAGTGGGATTCTGTGCGAAGTTTCTTCGAGCAGCCACTTCTGCAGGTACGATGTCCTCTTCAATCTCAGATGCACAGTCTGCTACCGTTTTTGTTTCTGAAGTTGCTAGGGTAGTCGCCATGGCTCGCTCTGAGTCTAAATGTGAGGCTGTCCGCACTGGGACACTTGCGAAATACATTGCAGACAGCTGTAGTAGTGATATTAAATCCTATCTTTTTCCTCTCGAGATTGCTCTGTTCCTGCTATCTTCTTTTAAGGATTATTGTGGTTCTGTCTCTTTGATGGCGGAAGATATCAGGGGGATTCTGAACGAGCTGGAATGCCCAAATGAAGAAGAAATTCAATGTTTGGTGCAAAGTCTCATCGAGGGCAGCTTTAACAAGGCTTACAGAATGGTGGAAAGCGATAGTCAACGAGAATACCGCTCCGATGAAGTTGTTGAAGCTGACGATCATTAAGACCATGAACAACGAAAAAGAAACGTGAAAGAAATATTCAGGGCAAGGAAAAACAACCACAGAACAGAAGAAATTAACACTTCTGCGTAAGCTAATCCGGCACTTGGAGAAATCTAATCGTAGAAGTTCAGTTGAGAAGTAACTTTAACAAGAAGATTAGTGATTAACGGAATCGTTATTTTGCAAACACCTATACAAGTTTTAGTTTTCATGAGTTATTTCAAGTAGCTTATGAGATTTTTGTGTCTAGTGTGAAGCACCGAGACACTATTTGAGAGTGCACAAAATTGGTTAAGTACTTCATATAATCTCAACTTATGACGTAACAGCCATATCAATCCTATAAGCTATACATTATTTTACTACTTACATGAAGGGGGACCAAATTGTTAGCACAAATATGTTTGGAATGTGTAACCATTTAGGCATGTTTGGAATGTGTAACTATATGGGGACATAGAGACTTTCGGCTAATCTTGAGCAGTCTTAGGATATTTAGCCTGCGTGGCAGGCGTTTGATAGGGAAGGGAAGGGGAGTTTTAGCAAACGCCTGCCACGCAGGCTATAGGATATTCGATCAAAGAAAGAAATAATCGGAACCAATTTAAATTAGAAGATGGAAGATCAGGATGAAGGGAGACTATAGCATGCAACCTTCACAATTTCTGTGAGTTGTAAGATGATTATATTTGCGGAATCCTTTTTGAGTCAATGCAACCTCGTCCCCAGGGCTTTTCCCTTAAAAAATGGGTGGGGAAGAGGTTGGAGTCAATGGCTATCTTATTTCATTTTTTTTCTCTGATTCTTCTTGTTGTTGTTATTCTACACTATACAGATGCAAAACATATCTGAATTCTTACTGCAAACAGTCACTTGATAGGGCACTCAGAGCACTAAGCACTCAGACTTGAGCTCTTTTAGCTATAAAGCCAGTCTGTTGAACAAGGTATACAAACAAGAGCCTGTTTAGGCTCCTGATACAAACGACTTTCTCATGATACCGGAAGAGAACAAATATCGCAGTTCATTGAACAAGCAAATAATCATCGCGCTAGTAATGTTTAATTTACTGAGCAAATCTCTGTTAACAAAATTTTAATGTTTTTTAATGTTTCTTTCAAAAAAGATATAATTGTGTTTAAAGGGAAAAGGGTTAAAACATGTCAATTCTCGGATCTACGAAGACATTTCAAGCCAGCTGGATTATATCAGAATACACATTTCTCATCTTGCCAGTTAGTGGTAAAGAATGGTAAAGAATAACATCATCAATGTCAAAGACAAAGCTCCGGCTACTCAGAGAAAAGACACCGTCGAAGGAAAGGCTATTCACAGGAAACAGATAGGCCCAATCAAACTCTCTTTGTAAGACGCTTTGAAAACAGAGAAAAAAGGCATTCCAACAAGAGCAGCAGAGCACCGACCAAACTAACTCTTTCTATTATGACAACATTAAATTTTTCCTTGATATAAATTCGCTCTAGATTCATGTATGCAGGGCGGACCTATTTTTTTATGTTTCATGTAAAGCAGCATGTCCTTAGCGGGGTGTTATCGTGACATTTTCTTCTCACTTCGTAGTACCCCGATTGTACCCCGATAAGTTATTAAAGAGAGAGAGAATGTTCATGTTGATACTATAGGGGCCGACCATTTTTTTTTAACTTTTTAAGGGGGCGAGTGGCTTGGGTGATTTTATAGTTGGGCAATAATTTTTTTTCCCAAGCCTACTATGCTTCGTTCTCTTTCTTTTCGCTAAATAGATGCACGAATGTTTTTTTTCCGACACTTTTTTTCTGAAATGGCCCTCCCCACGCTAGCCTGCGAATGCAGACGTATTTCCGGTCATCACTTCTCTAGATCTCCACCCGATATCTTTTCAGGTGGAGATCAGAGAAGCGACGAGCGGAAATACTTCTGCATTCGCCGGCTATCCCCGCCTCATTCCTCAAAAGTTGAATGGGCGGCCCCTTCTAGAGAAAGATCTTTTCTGTGTGTATAGTTCATCAGACGGACCGCTTAGTTTCATATCGTTTAAGAAATAATGTATATCTTTTATTTCACTGCTTATTTGACGAAAATTGGTTATAAGCTGCTTCAACCTCCAATTCAACCTCGTCCCCAGGACTATTCCCTAAAAAAATGGGAAAAGCCCTGGGGACGAGATCGAACCGGTTTATTTCTGCTCGTGACATTGGGCGCTTTCCATTTACCAAAAAACTTAAAGAAACTCTTATGGAAATGTCCATCGAGTGAGAACGTGTTCCATTTGACACAAGTTCCATTCGTTTACGCTCTCGTCACCTCTCCCCTCCGCAGAGGCTTCTTTTGTATCGTAGGGAGGGCTGAGAAGAGGGGAAAAGAAAGCGTGCGGGGGATGATGGGAAGGGAAGAGCAAAGAGGGGACGGAGGAGAGAGCCTCGTCCATAGAATTCAGGATGTTGACACAGATATCGCCGTGAATAGCCCGGGACTGGTGAGTCCTTGCGAAAACTCGTAAATGGAAAATGCATTTCCATGGGAAAGTTTCTAACGGGAAAACAGGACTACCTTTTCATATTTCCAATTATTCCAGGGGCCCAAAACCCGTAGCGAGCAACTCCCATACTAGGCCTTTGACACGGCTTTTTTCACGGACCAGTTTATTTTTAGACACATTTCAGGGCACTTTTTCACGTGAAAATAGAATCTCCACCATGTCTATGAGCGCATTCGAAGTACAAGATATCAAAAAGGAAAACTAAACGTCATTAAAAGGCAAAAAATATCAATTTTAGGTCTGCTGGTTTTGCTGACTGGTTTGTGGAATTTAAAAGATATTTAAAATTCGCGCCAAAACTATTCTAAAAATAAACTGGTCCGTAAAAACGCCCGTCACACGGGCGCATGGAAGTTGCTCGCTCCGGTGTATGGGTTCTTGGTTATTCCCGGGAATTTTCCAGTGTAATGTTCAATAAAAGTATGTGCCATTAACATCCTAATCGGAATTTCCGTAGCCTGTGTACAGACGCACTCCTCAGAGGGGAGGGGAGCGTCTGTACACAGGCTAAATTTCCGGAATTTCTTGGTAAATGGAAAGCATCCATTTTGTCAGTCCCTTTGTTTCACAGTATGGATGTAGTAAATTATTCATTACACGGTAATTATCAATGAAGCTGATACTTTTTTAAGGCACCGGGCCTTACAAACGATTCTAGTCTGCTACACATCCGTTTTTAATGTCGTCACGCAACCTCCTCTCCACAATGGGGAGGAACAGTGGTAGGTGCGTTGCGTGACGACACTAAAAAGACTAACACGATTCCGAATCTTTTGAAACCGCATATTTTTTTTTTTACCCGGATTAGTGTGAACGGGGCCTTCTTTAAAACCACTCTGGAGGCGCGGTTTCAAAACGGTTTGGTTACGGTGAGAAGATTCACTAGTCAGTTTCGTGTGGACGTGAGCCAGGTTGATTCGTGTAAAGGCACTATAAGCAGTTTCAAAAATATCCAGCAGATTCATGTGAACGTCGGCACTCGCCTAAGACTGAAAAAGAACATGTATTTAGTTTTCCGGATATCAGAGCTCTTTGTTTTTTCAAAAATAAAGAATCACGTCATTTTCAGTTATATTCACCAATATGCAACACGTATACACTATATATTGACGGTTGACTGTAGAAAATTTGTTCCAGGCACACGTTGTTGCAAAAACTATTTTTGCTATCTTTTGACAATTTTTCTACCAGTACTGCATTCAGATTCACTGAAAATTTTGTTTTATACGTATTAACTGTTTCAGGTCTCAGTCACAAAAAGGTAGTTGCTAGGGAGAACAGTATTGCGAAATAATTCAGTCTCGATTTTTACTGAAGATCAACGTCATAGTTTCTGTAGGAGGGACTGCAAGCTTCTCCTTCGGTTGACTCCCCGCATTGTGACTTTGAAACATTTCACGTACATAAGAGACGTTTTTTTCCATCAGTTCGAGGTCCCACGGTTTCAGCAAAGATTACAAAGTGTGTTTAGGTTTTTGTCCCTGTACAATTTTTTTTCAATTTGCATTCGAGTTCGGCTTGTTTATATCCATGCCAACTATCCAGATTGTTCGGCCTAAAATCGTAGCTATTCGATTTATTCCTTTTAAGGGTTTTCAGTTAATTGGAAGGTAATTGCGTGGGTTAAAAACGTTGCTGACCCAAAATTTCAGAAACATATATAACACGACTACGAACTCCATAACGGACATTGATGGTGGCTATTACGTATATCATTTCGTTATGTATCAGAAGCTTTGATGCCGTATTCTCTTAAGTCACTCTTTGTTTCTAACTTTTGCACATGGTATCTACACACGTTTCAATGCATCAAAAATGAAACGTAGTCCCACTCCCCAGAAACTTAACACGATAATTGTAACTAAACCGTAATTTATCCTTCCTCTATTTCTTTCAGAAGTAGAGACAAATGCGTTTAACGGACGTTACTGTTCATGTATACTCCCTTGTCCGCTTCATCTATCAGCTAATCCAGATGGATGTTTTGTGAAATATTTCAGGTTACTTATTTCTTCTATCTTCAAATATTGCTATAACAAACTTCAACACTGCTCTTTAATAAAAACGACCACTTTTTGCCGCAGCATTTCGATATGCCTGATTATGGTATTTATTCTTGAATGCTTTTTGAAGCCTCTGTTGGGGCGCTCAAAAACATTTTATGTGTTGTGGAACTTTTGATTAGACGACATAGGACCATATAGTACTTTTTCGACTTGTTATTGTCTTGGCACCCCTGTGAAGAATACTAGAACCTACATTAAATAGATTTAAATTGGTCCAAATTATATGCGTTAAATGCTACTTCGGTTTAAGTTAGAAAAGCACAATTCCAATAATATGAATAATATGATTTGCGTATGTGAGTAAAATTGCTTCCCACACAACTTGACCACACAGAATCACGTGGGCGCACAAGGTCTTTGAC